TATATATATATTATATATATATAAATAATTATTAGCAATCTCATTTTGTCTCTCTAGAGAACCCTGTCTAACAAAGGGGGGGAGGGGGAATGGATAGCAATGATGGTGGAATCACTCCCCTTGAGGGGGACGAATACCAGGATTGTAGGTGAAAGTATAGAATAGGCGGTGTAAGATATGTATACATAATAATAACAATACATAATGTATTCAGGGTTCACAGGGGTGGCAGGTTGGAGGAGCGAGGAAATAAAGAGGAACTGATATCAAAGGGTTCAAGATGAAAGATAATGTTTTATAACTGTTCAGGGAAACATTTGTACATGTCCGCTTGATATAATGGATGTATGGATTCTTATAATATATGTAAGAGCCCCCAATAAAATGATTTATTAATTAATTTTAAAAAGAATTTCTCACCTTACACATTTCTTGTTATTTCTTTACACTTTGATGGTTTATAAAGTTTTCTGGTTCGTATATGTTCTTCTTGATCACCTATCTAGATGTTCTAGTTATTACTAAAGTCACTGGCTATTATCGAACTCTTTATTTATCCTTTTGTTCTATCAATATTTGCTGATTATAGAGTTTCGGGGATTTTTCTATTTTAAGAGAATATTTCTCCCTAGATTTTATTATTTTGATTCACAGATTCTACTTCAATAAATAAGAGTCCCTGGGTAGTGAAAACCACTAAATCTTTTGGTTGCTACCAGACATGTAAGATATTGAACTGCACACAGAGGAACGTTGGGGAAAAACCCTAAAGGTCTACTTTGAAACAGCAACTAGTTATTGTAAGCTGCTCTCCTATGGCACACTTCAGATCGCCATGAGTCACGACGGAGGTTGGCTGATCTGATTCAGAATGGATTTTCTCTCTCTTTTTCCAATCGTGTGCTCACTATTTGTTTGGCAGGTTCTCAGTCACCCATATTAATCAACAGTCCTTTTGTCCTTGAGACGACAACAAACTTTCAAAAATGTGTCATCGGGCATTTCCTCCAGTTCTTTCTTGGGCTTCAAGTCTGAAACTATCATGTATTGTACGGCCATAATAATCGGTCCACTGTACAGCAATTTGTCAGTACAGTGTCCAAAGCCCCGGGACTCACCCACATTACTCAAATTGAGAAGCTCCGTCTCATCCCTTAGCTTCAAATACCTGCTTTCAAAGGGTATTTAGTCCTTATGCCCTCCAATTACGAAGGTCCCCGTGACAATTTTTGCTGTGAACATAAAACCAAAGGAATGCCTTTCAGCCCACTGAGCACATTCAGTTTGTGTTCCTTTTTAAAGTTCATCTTGCTTTTATATTTCAGCTCCATTTGGGGAAGTAGAAAACTTTACTCTATTTTGGAGCCCAGGGATATCATATAGTTCATTGTTTCTTGTGTATTTCTGAAGTGAATAGAGTTAAGATTGTTCAAATTGCCTGAATTGGGTTTTGATATAACAAGTAACTGCACATAAATAAATGTTCCATACCTCTTGATGCAGACCACCAGGTGTCTGTCAGTTTGTCCTACTTTGGTGGCTTATAGGGCTTGGTGACTCGGGAAACTTTGCATTGGTATTTTGAATACCATCAGGATCATCCAAAGTGAACAGATTTCAGAAGAACTTATGGACTATGAGGAAGGAATTGACGGTGCATGTCTGATAAATGAGCTACTGAAAACGTAATAACAAGGGAAATATGTGTCAGACACTGAAAAAATCATAAATAGCAGCAAAACATTGTCAGATGTATGGCCAGAAGATGAATCCCTCTGGTCTAAAAGCACACAAAATATGACTGAGGAAAGGCTGCTCTTTCAAATAGAGTCAATCATAATGACATGGATGTAGCACAATTCAAAATGTCAGGAAACAGCTGCAAATATTTCATAATTGGAACTTTGAATGTATGAAGTATGAATCTGAACATATTTTGGAAATTGTGAAAAATGAAATGGATCACATAAAGGGCATTATCCTAGGCATTAGCAAGCTAAAATAAGCTGGTATTGATCATTTTGAGTCAGACAGTCATATGGCTTACTATGCCAGAAATTACAAAATCAATAGGAATGGCATCACCATTATTGTCAAAAAAGATAACCAAGATATACTTTAAAATACAATGTTGTTTGTAAAAAGGTAATAGCTATGTGCAATTAAGGAAATCCAGTCTATACAATTATTATTCACATTTAAATGAACCATTAACACTAGAGAGGAAGAAATTAAAGAATTCTACAGTCTCTCTAATCTGAAGTTGATCACACATGCAGTTAAGATGCATTGATAATTATTGGTGATTGGAATGCAAAAGAGGGAAACAAAGAAGCTGGAGATGGCAGGAGAGTATCTTGCAAGACTAACAGTTTTTTAGTTGTAAATAGTTTTTTTTAGCAAGAAAAATGGTGACTATAAATTTGTATGTCTCTATATGGAATACATGTGTGGGGAGAGATGATAGGGAAGTTCAGTACCAGCAGTTAAAGCCAGCCCATGACGTGACAGATGCCAATGAACCATGCACCATCCTCTCTAGGTACATATTTTGACGGTCACTTTGCTGAAGGGCACCTCACATCAGCTAGGATCAAATGGTTAAGACAAGGGGGGGGGGATGTTGTCTAAAGAATGGCTGTCATGCAAAGCTATGCTGAGGTCTCCCTCAGTGAGGTAGACAGCTCCATCAGAGGGATGAAGGATAATGATGGGAAAATCAAGTCAAGTGAGAGGAGAGGGAGTAAACCCATTTGGGGGAACAGAACTGCGTGACGGTTGGGAGGAAAATCTCCCTAATCTCCAGTTGGGGAGAAGAATGACTAAAAATGCTTTTGGAGAGCCTAAGGCAGGGTGGGGGGGTGGTGTCCATGGTGGTATGCACTGAATGGGCCCTATTGACCCAGGTTTCTGGGTGCATCTTGGGGGCCCAGGTCAGGTGCCGGGGAAATCTGGGGCATTGAATCTTGGATCTTTAGGGCACATGACATGCTCCAGAGGTTGCAGCAGTAATATCTGACATGGAAAAATCCACTGGGTGAATGAGACTCTACCTCAGACACAGTAGGACCCTAAGGATGACCTGAGGATTTAACACGGAAAATACATGGTGTCTGAAGAAGTGAAAGACAGCTGTACCAAGATTGTTCAACTGTTGGTAGGTAGAAAAACATGGTCTTGTTACATCAATGCCCTATATCCTGTCCTAAGATATATATTATTCTGGCAAACCTGTGACTGATATTCTCAGTTAATATTATTGTAAAATTTCCCGGACACCTAACCCCCATTATTTGTGTAAATAATGTCCTGTCACTAAAGGACTGAACGTGCACAAGTGAATAATTCAGAGACTGGGATATGGACTTAGTCTACATTGTATCATTATCCCTCTCACAACAGGGCTTGAAAAAATTAGTGCCAGAGGCTAATAAAAGACAATATTAACAGAAGATCATTATGCCCCAAGGGATGATCGATAAGACTCTCTACCATTAATTAACAATGGGGTTTTGAAGGAATCCAAAGGGAGAAAAAGAAAAAATAAAACAAACAAACAAATCAAAAACATAGATCCAGGAATGGGATTTGGGCTTGTACTAAATCCTATCTCCAGCTAAAGAACAATTTTTTGTTACATCACGGCCCTGCTTGGTACTCGCCCTCAGGAGGGGGACACAGAAGATATGAGTGCTATAGCACGCGGTATGTGGTGAAGAAATGACACGGTGCTGGGTTTCAGGTAAAAAAGCATCTGGAATCTTAAAGCTTGTTTCCAAAGAAGCAGCCATCTAAGTGTGTCATCCACTCAGTCCACAGGAAGGAAGAACACCAGCATTAGTGACCCAAGGAGGAACAGTATCAGAGCCTAAATGGTGCGAATCCGGTTTGCAGAAGTCTATGGATGACGGTGGGAGCCCAAGATACATTTGTGAGATCTACACAGGAAATAAGCCTCCAATGATTTCCCTCTAGCCACAATAGAGGGATGGGAGGAGAATGGTTGCTCAACAAAGTGCATTGGAGAGATGTCTGCAGAAGATCAAAAGGATAAACCTGTCTTGAATGATTAAAAGCTTGGAAAATGATCTCCCCCCACAAAACCCCCATGTACTTAGGTTTGATTTGGTTCTCAAGTTTTTCTGTATTTTTCTATTTGTGCATTTTGGGGTTTATCTCAGATGTGTTATGTCATTTGGGACAGCCTCTTGAGTTTTTGTTGTATTTTTTTGTCTGTTTTTCAGTATATGAGACCCAGGATTGATAAACCTACAGGGAGAGCAAGTAGAATAAGGGGTTTTGGGTGGGCATAAAAGGGAGCTGATGTCAAGGAGTTCGGGAAGGAAAATAATGTTTTGAAAGTGATTGTGGTAACAATTGTATGATACTGCTTGGTGTGATTGAGCTATGGAAAGATACGATATCTGTATTAACTTCCAATAAAATGGTTTTCAAAACAAACAGACCACAACATAAAACAGGCCAGGGGCCAACTGTGAAACACCCTATCTATTGCTCATCTGCAAGTGCAAATTGAAGCTGATAAAAATTTCAGTGAGACCATAGCAGCCAATCACACAAAGAAAAATATCGTATAGTACACAGTTGTAAAGATAAACACCAAGAAGAAGGCAGGTTTCTGACGCAGCACATGTAATCTGTTAATCCAGGCTCCCAAGCAAGAGGAAGAGACCCTGCCTGATGCATATGAGGCATCAATCACCCCCTTTATATGTACACTTTAAAACCCACTTTTACAGGGAGAAGCTCTCATCTTACCTGGGATTATTTTCTCATGATGGGATGAAAGTGGACTGTGAGAGTCTTTAATGTTGTTTAATCGTTTGATTCATATGTAGATGTGGTAGTTACTTAATCTTGTGTCAATTTGGGAAGATTATGAGTGAAGGGGTGGAGTCTGGTCTGTCAGTCAAGATATAAGCAATGAGGCCCTGTGTGGGCATGGCCTTCTCCTGAGAATTCTGGGAACTTCCGTATTTCCTCCTTGGAGGAGGAAGACACTTCGCTCTCTTCTGACTCCCTTAGATGCTCTACTGGCAAGACACATGAACCTACCCTGATGCAGCCCTGGAAGCTGGAGAAGCCACATGGAGACTCCTGCCACCTTGGAAATACTTCCAACACCACTGGATCCAAAGGCTTTCTATCCACTGGTCTGTTATTGTCCTGCATTTAGGGTCATTGCATGTGTTTTGTGAGTCTGAAGAGGACTTTATAGCTTGGTATTGGACATATGGGCTGCTATCAAACTTGTGGGCTTGGACTGGACTGGATTGGGATGCTTTCTTAATGTACAATTATCCTTTATTTAAAACTCTCTCTTACACAAATATGAGTCTATGGATTTGTTTCTCTAGTCTACCTGGACAAGCACAGTGGGGGGGGGCATCAATAATGACCTTTTAAATGATCACTCATTAGTTTTGAAGACCCCTGAGCACTGCTTATCAAAGAGCAATGTAGAATACAGTTTTTGTGGACTGGTTTCTTGCAAGCCACCTTCAGTATCCTCTCATCTATGGTCCCAAGGCTCATTAAATCATTTCCTCTTGGTATTCAGTTATGGCTAAGGCATTTACTATCTTTGCTCCCTGTTAGGCCCCTAAACCAATTACATAAGGATTAATATTGCAAAAGGCCACGATGATAAAATCTCAAGGAAAGAGTTACATACAGAAAAATAAAAGATCATTTGACAGTAACCAGGATTGTGAGGAAAAAGAAGGAAAAATATCTAGAGATAATAGTCATGCATTAATTTGGGTGAAAGAAAAGGCAACATACAATAAGGGTGTGACTAACACAATGGCACCAAGGAAAAGAAGACCCTAAGTTACAGAAACAAAGATAAATGCCATTACATACACAATCTCGCATTGTTTTCAAAAATAAAAAACAGTAATCTACAAGAGGAAAGATAGGCAAGATGAAGTGGTATGAGTAGTTGTAGAGACTATACTCATGACCATGTAGAGGTTTGGCATCCTGATTTCTATAAACATGTTTATATGTGCTGAATTTTACCTTTTGAAGTCTTAGTTATTAAGAACTGCAGGCCTCTGGAATTAGAATGACAATAAAAGTGTTTGATTAATGCGGATCTTGGATATTTGGTTTCTTAGGAAGTTGAGAATCCAAATTATCTTCCATGATCCCCTGAAACAGCAGCCCTTCCTTCAGGAAATCTTACATCTGAAACTCTACCCACAGATGACCTACATGAAAAGCAACCTTGTAACTCCCTCAGTCCCTCTGCCTTTCCTAAGCATCTTCTGTCTACAGGATCCAGAATCAAGATCAGATGTTAAGCATCATTCCCCAGTAATGCAATCTTGATTAGATAAAGGCCTTTCGGGCCAGGTCATTAAAACAATCCTCAATTCCGCCTCCTAAAATTTGGTCCGTTCATATTTTACTGCTCTGGGATTAGAATAATAATAAATGCATTGAGATAATAAGGACCTTTGGATATTGAGCCTCCAGGGATATAGAGACTGCAAATAGTCTCTCTGTGACAATTCACTTACGAATTCTTCTGCTGTAAGGAGAGAGAACACATTGCTCTATTCCAAGAGATGATTCTTTCTGCTTGGGACCTGATGTCTTACTCAAATCCTCTGTCTTTCCTGAAAACAGACCTTACATGGACTACATCCAAAGCAGATGCCCAGGATCATTCATCAAGCATGTCAGCCAGGTAAACGAATGACCATTGGTTCCGGATTGGAAAGGAAGCCAGGGGCTTTACAAGAGCATGCAGGAGAAGGATGTGCATGAAGAGAGCACATGTAGAAAATGAACAGAATCCATTTCCCATGGTATTTTGTTTTCCTGCCATTTTGGGGTAAGGTGTCTTTTTTCCAATAATGAAGCGTTCAAAAATCTACCAGTCACTTGCTTTCCTTCCACAATCACCAGAATTTCCCTGTTAAACCATAACCTAACAATTGTCAAGCATGACAGTTATTATAAAATATTGTGACATGTACTAGCATTCTTGTGATGGTGGTGAAGGAAATAAAATTTGTCTGTTATCTTCGTTTTAATTTTCATTATTCTTTCCATTATTGCTATCACCTGCTTTGATCTCTGGAGAAGTAGGTGGAAAACCAGATTGACTTAGCATACTGGCTTCTGAGTGCATCTATTTCTATTGATACAGTTACTAAATAATTTCAATCATCATAAAAGCACTGATGACATGCTTTTAAATTGATCAAAATATCATTTTACAGAATGAATAAATGTTTATGTTCTGCTATATCAGTTTCAGGTTTTTTTAAAGAAACCAAATACATGCATATAGAAGATACATCATTTTTTATTTCCCACCATTACTTATCTTTAATTCTCCAAGGTAATTTCTGCCTCTGGTGATGTTGTTGTTGCTGGTCCAGAAAACAAACATTTCATTATCTTGTCACCTCATTTTCCCTCAGATTTATCAACAGTATAGAACCCAACAACAAAACAATCATTTCAAATTTTTTTCTCCTGGGACTGACAGCGGATCCAGAACTGCAGTCCCTCGTCTTTAGCTTGTTCCTGATCGTGTACCTCGTCACTGTCATTGGAAATCTGCTCATTGTCTTGGCTGTCAGCACTGACTCCAAACTGCATACCCCCATGTACTTCCTTCTCTCCAATCTGTCCTTTACTGACATCTGCTTAAGCACAATTACTATCCCAAAGATGTTGGTGAACATCCAGACACAAAATCAAAGCATCACTTATACAGGCTGCCTCAACCAGATTTTCTTTGTTCTGGTATTTAGTCTTTTCGAAAATTTTCTACTTGGGATAATGGCCTACGACCGCTATGTGGCCATTTGTCACCCATTGAGGTACACAGTCATCATGAACCCCTGTTTCTGTGGCCTGCTGGTTCTAATGTCCTTATTCATTAGTATGATGGATGCCCTGCTCCACAGTCTGATGGTTTTGCGTCTGTCCTTCTGCACGGACCTGGAAATTCCTCAGTTCTTCTGTGAGCTTGCTCAGGTCCTCAAGCTCACCTGTTCCAGTGCCCTCATTAATAACATCCTGTTATATTTTTTAGCTTGCATATTGGGTGGTGTTCCTCTGTCTGGGATCATATTCTCATATTCTCGGATTGTCTCTGCTGTTTTAAGAATGCCATCAGCGAGTGGGAAATATAAAGCTTTTTCCACTTGCGGGTCTCACATCTCCGTTGTTTCTTTATTCTATGGGCCATCTTTTGGTGTGGTCTTCAGTTCTGCGTTTAAACACTCTTCCAAGAAAACAGCACTAGCTTCAGTGATGTATATTGTGGTCCCTCAAATGATGAATCCCTTTATCTATAGCCTGAGAAACAGGGACATCAAGGCAAGCTTGAGAAAACTCATTGGTAAGATACGTTGTTTTCAGTGATTATGTCATTAGCTTATTTCAGTGGGTAGAGTTACACTAATTACTGGAGTATGCGCTGATAAATACTCTGCATGTCAGCATTAGCATAGACCATACTGTTTCATATATAGAAAATGGCAGTTATGCTTTCTGAATGGTTTTAAATTGTTGGAAGATATTTTAACATCATCAGTGCAAATTCCTTTGTTTCTAATAATTAAAAGAACCATCAAGACTAATATGCTCAAAAGACAGATCTATTCAAAGGATTTTTAAAAAGGATTTAGAGGTAATATGTACCTATTGGAGCTCTGGTGGCATAATGGTTATGACTTGGGCTGCAATCCTCAATGTCTGATGTTTGAAACCACCAGTGGCTTCGTGGGAGAAAAACAAGGCTTTCCGTTCTGGTAAAGAGTTACAATCTCAGAAACCCACAAGGACAGGTCGACCCTGTCCTATAGGGCCACTATGAGTCACCTTCTACTCGATGGCATTGAGTATGTCTTTAGACAGAAACAGAATAGTAGGGTGTTATTAGTTCTTCATGTGGTGGCTTTATCCCAGTGATAGTTTCCTTCACAATCTCCAAAATGTTGTGGTAGGTGCAGAAGTAACACAATACGTTTTATATAACACCATATTATATCCAGAGAGAGAAAACATACTGTGCCTCCTGTCCCTATTGTTAATAGATTTATTTAAAAAGGGTCATCAGACGATATGACTCTATAGTGGGTTAGATAATCGCCCTCAAAATGCGATGTGGATATTCTAAAAGAAGCGCTGGTAGTATATGGACTACTGAGCTGCTAACCACAAGATCAGCAATTCAAAATCAGCTACTGTTTCAAGGGAGAAAGATGAGTCTATCTGCTCTTATAAAGATGTAAATGTCAAAACTCAAAAGGGTCACATTTTCTCTGTTGTATGAGGTCATGATCAAATTCATGGCAATAAGGAGGAATATTTAGAACTCATGAATAGTATGGCTAGTTGGACAAAATGTCTTTGTAAAGGAGATTAAGCCTGGATTATCTTGTTAGAACTAATTTCCATCACTTGCATTCTCAAAGCATAGGGCATGAGACACAAAGAAAATTAGGGCAGCATGACCCTAAAGGAAAAGATATGAGTAAAGGACAAAAGCACTTGAGCACACCAAAGATCTTTATGAAGAGGGAAGAGCCAATGAATGCATTCTCCCCTACAACCTACCAAGGCAGGAACCCCTAATGACAACTTGATTTTTGACTTCCAACTTTCAGAACTGAGAGATAGTAAAATTATCTTTATAAACATCCAACCAGTGAGTGGTAATGTTTTATGCCAGCCAATGGGAAGTCACAAGTGCTCTTTCACCTATGAGACTAGAATTATGTGTCCTTTCTTAATCTAATTCCCAATGTAGGGGAATGGTTACTAGATAATTCCACTGAAAAATCCACCCTTGCCACTATAGATATTATGTACAATGTCAGTCATATAATAAGTATTCAAAGAAACTTAACTAGTATTATTATGTTTCACTTCTTGCCTTATTCCTATGCTATGCAATCCTTTTGCTTTCATATATTTTTCCACTTGCTTCAGTAATTATATTTGGTTACCCTTATTTTAACCTGTTTCATAGGAAATTGGTTTTATAATGAGGTGTTTGACGCTTTCAAAAAAATGTACCATTTCATAAAAATTTACCATCTTAGACAGGAACCGGACAGTTCTTCTCTATCCTATAGGATCACTATGAGCTATAATCAACTCAACAACCTTGAGTTTGACTTTTTGGTATCAGACTACTTCTAGTCTTAGTTAATCAATGACTATAAGAAAGAAGAAAATGTTCTAAAATTGTGGCAATGTCTGCAGATCTCTCAACAATATGATGAAACTATTGAATTTTATGACATGTGAATTGTATGCCAATAAAACTATTAAAAACAAGACAATCTATATAGATTATTTAAGCCAATATATTATGTGTTGTAGGTACTCAATAAATGGTAAGATTAAAAGTATTTACCAATTTTGGGGTATTAATGGGCAGGATTAGGGAAATGATTTTTCCAGTAAATACAAAAATGCTAATGTAAGTCAGAATCCTCTCTGTATGTGTGGTGGTAAAAACAATGATGGTCTAACAGGAGAATTAAGGAACCACAGAGAATCTTCTATTCTGTTCATCAAACGGGATAAAAGCTCATGGGGAAAACGTGTATATCACTACTGGAGGCCAGGTAGCAAAGATGTCTTCTAGTGCTGAGGTTCCCTTAATGATGACCACAGTTTTGCTGCTGAGGTGAACTTCCTGAGACCCTCCTTCAAATGGCAAATTTATGGACCTCACCCAAGAACTACTGCTTTGAATTTGAAGGGAGACACCTCTAGCTCTACAATGATCATTTTAATAGTTATCTTGAGATCCTTATGTACTCAAGTCTGAGAGGCATTATTTGCATATTGGAAGACGATGGGAGAACATACTTAGAATCTGGAATACATAAGGCATTTCCTCAATTTTGCTTGGGAAAATAGAATATATACGTATATATATTAGTGTGTAAAATATGTCTGTTTTTCTCCAAATGTCTATATAATGATAAAATATATGTCCATCACCAGGTTATAAAATAAGTTATTATCAACACTATAGTATCCACAAAAGCAGTATCCCAATCACAACACATTCATTCCTCACTTCCATTGATGATCACTGTCCTGTTAATCCTATGAAATTCACCACTGAAATTGCTAGAATTTCAGAATATTTTTTATGCAAACACCGGCAGTATCAAACCATTTATTGTATCTTTTTATTCACATATATATATATATTTATAATTTATTAAGAAAGGTTGAATCTTTTTGAGCTTGTCAGAAGTTTGTTTTTGTTTTACTGTGGCAGAACACACATGATATAAAATGCCATCAAAAATATTTTTTAAAGTATAATTCAGAAGCTTTAAATGCATTTACAACTGCCTCTTGATCCATGTACAGGTTCCTCGTGAGCACAGGAAGTATTCTGGAATTCTCATTCTTCTCAAGGAATTCTCATTCTTTTCAGGGTCATAGTTTGTTATGATCCTCACAGTTCAATTCATTTGCATAGTCATTAAAACACAAGTAAAATCTTCCCGAGGTTATATGCATTCAGCCAAGATTCATCTTCTGAATCTAGCCTGAATTTCTGGAAGCTCCCAGTCAATGAACTGCGAAGAAGCCACATGGACTTCATACAAAAGCTGTTGCATGATTCTCAGCAAAATTTTAGAATCACGTAATATCAATGATCTCATTCAATAATTTTCACTTTCTGTTGGATCATATACGTCTGGAATGGATAAAAACATTGATCTGATCCAGTCAGGTGGCCAAGTAACTGTCTCCCAAATTTCTTGGCATAGATGAGTGAGTGCTTCCAGTACATTATCAGCTTGTTGAAACATATCAATTGGTAAGTCATCATGTCCTGGATCCTTGTTTCTGGCTAATGCTTTCAGTGTAGCTTGAACGTCTTCCTTCAGTACCATTGGTTCTTGCTCCTATGACACCTCTTGAAAGGATTGAATGTTCACTAATTCTTTTTAGTACAGTGACTCTGTATGTTCTTTTCATCTTCTTTTGATGTGTCCTGCGTGATTCAATATTTTGCCCATAGACTCTTTCAATATTGAAACTTTAAGCTTGATTTTTTTCTTTAGTTCTTTCTGTTTAAGATATGCTGAATGTGTTCTTCCTTTTTGATTTTCTAATGTTATGTCTTTGCACATTTCATTGTCATATTTTACTGTATCTTCTTGAGCTTCCCTTTGAAATTTTCCTATTCAAATCTTTGGCTTCATAACTTCTTCCAATTACCTTAGCTACTCTATGATGAAAAGCAAGTTTCAGAGTCTTTTATGTCATCCGTTTTAAAATAAATAATCTTTTGCTTTCTTCATGTATGGCATTCTCTCATCCTTCTTCAGATCTTCCTACATCAACGTTCAACAAGTTGAGTCTCTTCTAGAGATATGCTCTAAATTCAGGTAGGAACGTACTGGAGGTCATATTTAAGCTCTCAGGGACTTGTTTTAATTTTCTTCAGCTTCAGTCTCAACATATACGTATGACCAATTGCTGATATGCTCTACAGTCAGACCTGATTGCGTTTCAGCTACTAATATTGAGCTCTTCCATTTTCTCTTTCCACAGATGTAGTGAATTTGATTTCTGTGTATTCTATCTGGAGACGTCTACATGTGGAGGCACCGTGTGTGTTATTGCAAAATGCATTTGCGATGAAAAAGTTGTTGGTCTTGCAAACTTTTATCATGTGATCTCCAGCTTCATTTCTATCATCAAGTTTGTATTTTCCAATTATTGTTCCTTCCTCTTTGCTTCAATTTTTTGCATTCCAATCACCAATAATTATCAATGCATGTTGATGGCATGTTTGGTCACTTTCCAACTGAAGATATTGATAGAATTCTTCAGTTTCTTCATCACTAGTGTTAGTATTTGTTGCATAAATTTGAATAATAGTTATATGGACTGGATTTCCTTCTATGCTGATATATATGTCATAGACACCAGATATTGAAGTCAATTCAGAAGAGGATTTGAAGTTAGGAATATTATTACAGTTGTCAGATGTATCTTGAAAGCGTAGAACAGAAGAAAGATGTTTAACGTTGTGTTTTACTTACTATGAATAGGCATTCAACTGTGTGGATCATAATTGGAAATAAGAACATTTCATCGTGCTCATACAAAACCTGAACTGGTACATAGACCAGTTGTATTACTTGAAACAACTTTAAAATATTTCAATATTGAAAATTGTACTTGAATATATATCTTGAAATGTTAGTTTTGATGATGTAGGCTATGCTATTCCTATTGAACCTGTCATTCCCAGGTAGCAACCCACTTGATGCAAAATAGACAACATGAGTCCCTTTCAGCTCACTAATGCTAGGGTATCAATCTTTATGCATTCTATTTAATTTTTGGCTACTTGCAGTTTTCCTAGATTC